GAATACTAATAAGACAATAATTTATACCATCAAACAATTAATCACTAAGAAGAAAAGAATTATTAGTAATTTTAGGAAACAAAATAAAATTTAGTGAAAATAATCAATAATAAAAATTAATAATTTACCTTTAAAAATAGAGTGACTTGATAATAAATCTAATAAATTATAAAAAAAATTGTTTGAAACTTTTAGGAGCAAATAAATTCTAGTAAAAATAATAAAAAATATAAACCAGCCTAAAATGAAAATCAAGAGAATAAAAATTATATATCATAGCAAACATGATTGATTTATTAATAGATTCTATGAATTACAACTATCTAGTCAATAATAATAATAATAGAGAACTTTGTTAGGAATTTTAGTTAAAAAACAAAAACAAAAAAGGAAACAATCAAGAGGAATTTTTTTTTTTTTTTTACAATAAGCAATGCTTAAGAACTAATTAATTTAGAGATTCTAACTCTACACATTTATAACAAATCATTTTTAAAATGCTCATGTACCAATTTAGGTATCTCCCTAAATACATAAAGAACTCTTTCCAAATGGTAAAATCTCAAAGTCATTTAACATGGACAGTAGTTTGCTTTCCTAAAGATGTGATGCACCTCACATTGCCATTCTCATTGCATAAAGCCCCTGCACTTGCATATCTAATTGGTTAGTGAATTGCTTGTTCTTTTTTATTTTTATCAATACTACTTTGAAAAGAAATCAATGGACTATAAATAATAGGAAGAGAATTTCAAGAGATAGGCGCCAAAATTAGAAAATTAATGACAATAATGAGAATATTTTATGAAAAAAAGAATTAAATATATTCATTATCTAGTGAACTTTAATTCATGAAAGGGAAAATCAAAAGGTATGTCTCTTTCTCTTATTTTGGTTTAATATACATATAACAGAAAATAATAATAAATATATTAATTTAATATACATTGAATAATTGGAGGGATTGTTTTACTGTATATTTATGCATTAATTAGGGATATATAGCAAACTTGACCAACTCACTAATATAAAATGTATACCTCCTTTTTTTTCTTTTTTTTTTCTTATGTTTCTAAATTATTGCTAATGCATACCTTATGTAATGTATAGGGTAGCATTCTACATATATATATATATATATATATTTGATGCAGAATAGTGTAACTTTTGATAAAAAAAAAATGAATTGTCCATTTATGAATAATTATGTATAATAATTATATAATAAATAATACATATATTATTATATATTTATTATATATTAAATATATATTAATGCGACAATGGTTATAACTTATAACTTTATTGTTGAGTATAAATATGAAGCCCAACATAAATAATAATTTAATTAATAATAATGTAACTTAAGAGGAGAGAAAATGAATAGTTTATTCATTAATAATTGTATATAACAATTATATAATAAATAATAAATATATATCATTATATTATTATATATTAAATATATATAAATGCATATCCTATTTAATGCATAAGGTAGCATTTTATATATATATATAAGATAATAAATAAATTTATATTATTATATTATAAATTATTATTATCAAGTATATTATGTATTATCTATATATGTATAGAAGTGTACTCGTTAATATGCTCATCCCTACTATTAATTAATTAAATTTAAGGTTAAATGCTAGATTTGGTCCCTCAACT